GTGGAATGTTTTATGCTTTTCCTTTACTGGATTTTCTACTTCTTTCACTTAGGTTGTTAACCACCATTTCTGACCTTTCCAGACACAGAGTTGGGAAGATAAATTCCTACTTGAGTGGTACTGTCCTAGGATGAGCTGGGGTCTCACAGTTGTCTATTGCTTTTTTGGGGTCTCTTAGAAAATTCTCTTTATTGAGCTGTCTCACTACATTTTCATGCTGAGCTACCTGCATTTCGTAGTGATAATTGAGGCCTTCTGCTTTGCTCAGCATTTACTCACTTCCAGAAGCTTCTTAGAGAGTACCACTGGCATGACCTCATGCTGGATCTTGGTGAGTGATCCACATTGATCCATGGAAAACACACACATTCTTTACTCTAACAAATTCATGGAAGAATAGCCGATCCCAGTGCAGCCATCTCTGGTTTGACTTGACTGACAGTAGCTAAACACAATTATTGGTGCCATGGGTATCACAGGTATTAGTTCATTGTGTGTTCCAGTTCTATAAACACGTCATAACTACTGTTGATCTTAGTGGAATATGTGTCAAAATTACTGTAGGGCTTAGGAGAATCTGTACACAGAAATCTTCATGGATCCATAAATTACATTCCATTCTTTTCATATTATTTTATTTGGGTTATGTGCGTATGGTATATGCACATACTTATGCAGTTGTGAACACACGTGACAGACAGTGCTTATGTGCATGTGCACTCACACACACACACACACACACACAGAGAGAGAGAGAGAGAGAGAGAGAGAGAGAGAGAGAGAGAGAGAAAGAGAGAGAGAGAGAGAGAAGGCAGATGTTGAGATCAAGTGTCTTCCTAGATTTCTCTATGTCTTATCTTTGCGACAGAGTCTCTCATTCAGCTTGTAGCTCATAAATTTAGTGAGGCTGGCAGACAAGTAAGTTCTAGGGAATGTACTTGTCTCCATCCCACTAATCCAATGCTGAGATTACAGACATGTGTCAAGAAACACAATATTTACATAAGTGATGTAGATCTGAATTTGGGTAACATGTCTGAACAATACATACTTTACCTACTGGGCCATTGTCCCAGTCCCTTAATTCCATCCTTAATACAGTTATAACTTTGAGAAATATCAGATGCCTAAGAGTTCCTCTCATGAATGGAGGCATAAAGGATAATAAAAGGGAGGGAAAATTCTAGAAATTAATTCTACAAGTCAGTAAGAGTCAAACGGCTAAAAACAACAAAAGCAACGTAACCCCTGAATCAAATTTCTTCAAATTATATTCATCATCAGCCAGAAAACAGATGGTTGTCAAAACAAATTTTCCGTGTTTAGAAGCATTTGCCTGAGACGACATGAGACATTAGCATACTTTTCAGTTCCAGTTCCTATCTTAGGAGAGGAAATATTTTTTCCAAGTTTTATAGGAATGAACTGTTTTCTGAGTCCACTGAAGGCAAATCAAATTTTCAAGAGTTTAACATGCCACACTTAATGTCTTATCAAATGTTTAGCAAACATAATTGGATTAATGTGCCCTTCTAAACCCTTTTACTTTGGAAAAGTGTCTATGAAACTAGTCATTGATATATCTTAAAGTAGAATGTGAAGACAGTATAAACAACTCAGGTTAAAGTAATAGGCTAAGGAGAAAATTAAAAATGTCACCTGCAAAAAATCTCATCAAAAATTAACCATCAGAGAAAAATACAGCAAAATTTTTCCCAAATACATTTATTTGTCAACTGTTCACTGAAGCTCATTATTTCAGTTAAATGGTGAGTTACTGTGGCTAAGATAAACCACCCTTTGCTCTTGAGTTGACTGTAATCCAGAGTAAGTGGCAAATATGGACACATGCATGCCAACAGAAGCATAGAGCATCGGATCAGAGTTTCCAAACTTGAATATATTTAGGAATCATATAGGGTTCAGGTTCAGTGTTCCCACAACATCTTCACAAAGTCTGCTTCTGAAATTCGGGGCTATAATCTAAGCACCTCGGGCATTATGGAGGATGAATTCCACAAGGTGTGTGTGAAGGAACATTCTTCAGATAGAAGACCACAGAAGCAACAGTCACACCTCTTTTCCCCCACAACACCCAAAGTCCTCACCCTGAGCTGCCACACAGCACGCAGTTACCAATTCTTCTAAAAAACTAGATGAGTGGGTGTGGTTAATCTTCATCATGCATGGTACATGCATACTGTGATGTGGAAATTCAGAAATACAGTTTCTCTGTTTTGTTTTTGTAAATTAAATTACTTTTTAAAGACATTGTCTCACTGTGTAGTACCGATTAGTCTGGCACTTGCTGTGCAGCCTGGGCTGGACTCAGGTCACAATGACTCCTCAATCTCAGCCTCCTGAGTGTTGGCCTTACAGGTACATACTAACACACCCTGTTCAGGTTCTCTCTAGGAAACAGGCTATCTTGGGTGGGACTAGAAGATACTACAAATGACTGGGAATAACGTTGTAGATAGACATATCTGTGGAATGGAACTAAATGAGTTTGACTCCATCCTTTGCTTCACAGTGAGTTCATTTCCCTCTATTAACTTGTGTCATATGGCCTTAAGGGCTGGCCCCCATTCCTGTAAATGGTGTCATTGTTTCATCCAAGAAAGACTCAGAGCTCCGTGAAGCCCACCCTGGCAAGCTCTGATGTACATGCAGAACAGCCCCTCTGGGAATGCCAAGACAAATTCATTATAGTTCTAACAGAGAAAACCATTTAAAAATGTAACAAATTACATGAGATGTGTAAACATATGATTTCTATATCCAAACCCAAGTCATTGGCACCACTTTTCATGGAGCAGTGATGATTATTCTAAAAAAAGGCTGCACTTGCATTACACACAGCTACAGATATTTTTATAGTAAAACAAACCACTGAACTTGAAGATAAAATGAAATATTCTGATGCCTAGGCAATATTTGAAATTTTGAAAGATCTTGGAAGAATGTCATGAGGCTTAGAAAGAAAAGATTGGTTAAGACAGTAAAAGTTGGTGGATGAAATAGGTGGGGGAGGAAACATGACATGGGAAAGTGGGGAGGGAGGGAGAAACTGTGAGCAACTACTTCTATATCAGCCATGATGGTGGAGAGAATGGAACACCAAGGAGTACAGAGTGACCCTGGCCAATGGGCCCTGGAAAGGGCAGGAGTCACAGTGACAGCTACATAGACTCTACGGGCTCTGTTCTGAGACCTTCCTAGAACCTAAGGTCTCAGAGAGCAAAATCTTGGGACTGCATGTTGAGAGCTGTCTATTTTTATCTGCAGTGATCTGCTGGGTGACTTGGAACCATCACTAAGCTTCTCATACATTGACATATGGGACTTGGTGACTTTAAAGATTCCCACGAGTTTCATTATTTCACAGTATAAGGTTTCATCAACAAAAGTGATGAAGAACAGGGGGAAAAGGAGGAAGGAAAATAAAGGGGATTTTAGGAAGGAAAGTGAGGAGCTCCAGATGGCATATATACAAAAAGGAGGAGGAAGTCAACAGTTTCAAGTGTCCCTTCAGCAGGTACAATACCTGCTAAATGAGATTTGAGAAGACCAATTACATGTTAAAATGTATATGCTGTGATAGATGAAAGCCTGTTTTCTTTAACAGATTTGAATATATTCCAGTTGGATGTTTATAATATTACTTCTTTAGGAAGTTTTCAGTCTTAGAACATGGCAAAATAATAGTTCATTTCTAATTTAAATTATTCTACAATCATCTCATTGGTAAATTGCATGTATATAATAAAAATGTTGTAAACATATATGTATATATTTATATGAAAGAGATTTAGTCTCCATACATGTTCAGAGACACATTTGCATAGGTGTGTAAACTATGTGCTAATTTTAATGTAGACATGACAAACACTGATATCATCAGAAAGCTCTTTCTGGGCTTCAGAAATTTCACCCAAAGTCATCTCAGGAAGGGAGAGAAGAACAGTGGACAGAGTAAGTACAAAGTCCTAAGGCCTTCTAAGCTCTCCTATCGGTGTCCTACTGTGCCACAACCTTTTAAACTCTGACTCTGGCACTGATTTCAGCCTCCTAAGCCCTGAGCTTACCCTGACAGTTTATTTGCCTGTCATCCACTGCATCTCCTACATATTTTAAGATATGTGAATGGATAAACTTACTAAACACTAAATCAAATCAATACAAACGCAGTGTCTGAGTGGAAGAGTCATGCGAGCAGCTTACCTCCTTTACAGGCAATAAAGGCAATGAGTTGGAACCTGTACCCCAGAAAACAGCAAGTATTTTGCTTTCTGTGGCTAGAGTCAGATTCATTTCCTTGTATTTAGGAAAAGAAATGACTAAGTAGAGGAAAACAGACCTTAAAGAGTATCCCATGGTCACTTAGGAACTTGTTTCATTTGTTATAAGAATATATAGTATAATAGTCCTCTGAGCTTTTCTTTCATTTCTTCAGACTCTGAAACCTTGCTCTGATCTCACCACAGTGACTGATAGCTGAGGGTTAAATTGCCGGTTTATGGATACCTACAGGGGATAAATTGCACCTTAAGCAGAGCTTTCCCATTGTCTGCTTGATGAATATGGTTTAAAATAATGTTCCTTCCATCATAAGTAAAAATATGGATCCATCCTTCTTTAATTTTGTTTTATTAGTCTATTTTCAGAATATCATGTTTCATTAAAAATCTGAACATTTTGTGTCATTTTAAAATGTGAAAGTAAGACTTTTTTTTTAATTGGGTCTTCTGTGTAGCTCTGGCTGGCCTGGGATTGGCAATGAGAACCAGGCTGGCCTTGAACTCAAAAGATAAACCAGCCTCTACCTCCCAAGTGCTGTGATTAAGGGCGTACTCCAGCACACCCTGTCGAAATCACTTTAGTTCAGTTTAACTCACAAGCTCACATTTAGCTTAAGAGAGCTACCAAGACACTTGCCCAGTCCAAAACTATGCATCTGAGTGTTTAGGAAACGGAAATGAAATGGCAGAGTCACACACCTGTGTCTGTTTAGGGCCAATATCCATCCTCTGGAGGAGGTCATTTAGAAAAGCGGTGACACTTTCCCAGGGGTAGATGCTGTTGGAGCCATCCAGGACAATGACTATGTCCAGCTGGGTGCTGCATTCTGCAACAGAAGGAAGCGGTGTGTGAGTCTGAAACCTACCTTTTTAGGAGTAACTGAAGTATTTTCCTGGCTGAAAGACTCATCTTAAAAGATATACTGACGGTCTTCAAAGTACAGCTATTGCTTTTATAATATTTTGGAAAAATGAGTGTTTAGAAAAACTGCATTTGGTTATAATCAGTTTGTGCTACAGAACTCCTCCACCCTCTTTCTGAGACAGGTTTCTCTGTGTAGTCCTAGCTGTCCTGAAACTAGCTGTGTAGACCAGACTGGCCTTGCACTCAAACATCTGCCTGCCTCTGCTTCCCAAACATTAAAGGTGTGCCCCATTATGCCCGGCCCTTCTAATTTATTTTTATTAATGATATACATGTTACATTTGTGAATTTTCTCATCATCAGTTTGGTACTGTTTTTTTCTGTACATCTCAAAGGAAGTTATTCTCCTCAAAGAGATTCACCCTTTAAATATAGCCAGCATGATAGCATTAGCCACAAAGTTTAAACATGATTCTCCAGGTCACTTACACTAATATCAATTCCAAAACCAGGAAATAGTCTCCCAAGTTGGTAATGCTAGTAGATGACAAATCAGAGAAGGCTTTTGGTATGCTCTCAGGTATACATGTATCTCACCCATTGCTCATGCTTTCAAAATGCAGAAACATCATATAAAATGTGTACCTTGTACAAGGGCAAAGGAGTTCAGAACTTGAAATGTAGGGCTGACATCAGAACAGATTCCAGTTGTATAATGCAAATGTCCACATCTATAGGCATACAAAGGCCCACATGCCTTTAAAAAATAAAAAAAATAAGAAAACCTTTAAGGCTGAACATCATATAACAGGTTTCAAAGACATAAATAACTACACTCCTATTTTTATGAAATATATTACTCTTTTCTTTCTCACCAGAAATCCTCCATTTGGGTTGGTGACTAGAGTTGATCCAAATGTCATGTTTTCTTTTATTTCTGTGACATTGGGAATCGATGTGTTCACTGCAAAAATAGAGCGAAATTTCATGAGTGTGAAAATATGTTTCATAATATGAAGCTGAGTGTCTCCTCATTAAAACATTCTATTTGCTTTGCTCATCTCGTAGCACATTCTTGTTGTGGTTCAGCTAAATAGACTTCCCGGTACTGGAGAATATAATGAACAAGTTCAGGCTGAAGAGCTGGCTGGTGTCCCAGAGAGACTCTGTATCACTGTTTCAAATAGTTTGGCTGGACTTTGAAAGAATGCAGAACTAGCAGGCAGATGCGAATGTGGGATTGGTTTTCACACGTTTTTGCTACTTGAAACGAATGCAATATTCAGTTTCATAGGAGACTAGAGACAATTTATGTTCTTTGTTATAAACAACCAATGACAAATCTGGACTGAATATGCCTAGAACAGAACAGTCAAACAAAATGTTTTTATCGTGACTTTCAAAAATCATAGGGACGTCATGAGAACTGCAGAGAGAGCTGGATCAAGATCAGAGATGCCTCCAGGAAATTTGGATAAAGAGAATACAGTGAAGGAACCACATTAGATGTTCCAAATGGGAATGTTGGGTTCCACAGCATTCCAACCTGACAAAACTGGCAGAAGCGCTGCTTGCACATTCACGGGAGAAAATTAAAAGACTGGACAGGAATGGAGTGCATAACTATTTGAAAGTGGCATGATTAAAGATCAAGAAAAGACTCTTAGCGCTGTTCCTGTCTGCACATATTCTCACCTCCCGGTGACAGTCAACAGGTGAACAGGTTCCTGGATGGTCCGTCTCACTTCCTAATCTCAGAGCTAGGTTTTGTTCAAGGATTTTGTCTTTCTTGCTTTGAAAGTATCCTTTTGTTCCTTTCTAATTATCTTCTACTGCGAATAGACTTTTTTTCATACAACATATACTGATTGCGGTTTTGCCTCGCCCAACTCCCTTCGGGTCCTTCGCGCCTCCCCTCCCATCCACACCTTTTCATTCTCTAACTGGAAAACAAACAGGAATCTAAAGAATGGTAATAAAATTAGATAAGGCAAAACAAACAAAATGAAATAGGGCAAAGCAACCAGAGGGAAAAGAGCCAAAGAAAAAACACAAGAAACACAGAGAGAAACACTCATGGAAATCCCATAAAATCACAAAATCAGCAAAATGTAATATTTACACAAAGGACCTGAAATGGAAAAAAAGACCCAACAAAGCATTATAAGTCAAAGGACCTCCAAATGAAAGCATCTTGAATTGGGCTACTATATACATTGGTATCGAATGACCTATAATTGAGACTTTAAATGAGGCTTGTCTAGAATCAGCATTGCTGGGACAATTAGAGGCTTTTGATAGGTTTCTTACTGTTAAAATTTCTAGGCTAGTTTAAAAACTATTCTAGTTTTCAGGGATGGAGGATAAATCCTAGAAAAATTGGAAAGACACATGAGCCAAGTGTCTGAAGGCATTGGAAGTGACGTCAAGCAGCAGGTGCTACAGAGGACTCCACATGTAGAAACAAGAGGCTGACACTGGGCTCCTTGGTTCTACGTCTCATTCTGGTTTTATTTTTCCTTTCTCCTTAAAAAAAGACCCTACTAGGTAATAAAACTCAAACAGGAGTTCCAGGCTTGGAGAAAAGGAGGATAGAAATTTAAGGTCAATGTCAACATTATCTACATAAAGAAGAAGGGAGAATCTTGGAAAAGGAACCACAAAAGGACAATTATTATATATGTTTATGTATTCTATCTATATATCTGAATTGACTGAATAGTGGCCACACAGCCTAGTGGAAATAAAAAGAACCAAATAGAACTCTAAGAACTTGATTGATGGAAAAAATTCAGAATGTGGGGATTGTGTTCTGCCAAATATATATCCTGTTAATACAAAAAAATAATTAATACTACTCAAAGGAACATAAGCAACTAGGATTTCTATACTTATAATTAAAAACATAGTTCAGTTTGTGTTCTAAAAACATGAATAACTAGGGAGAAGCCAGAAAGTATAACCCAATGTCAAGGGAAGGTAGAAAACCAGAAAGTGATGTTGAAGACATCCTTGATGCTGTAACTGTCAGGCAATGGTATTCTTACATCTATGATAGCTGTGTTCATGAATGCAAAGGGAAAATAGTCACAATGAACAAAAAATTAGAAATTGAAAACCAGAGAACTGAAAAAAAATGCATTCTCTACAGTAAACTTGTAGGGATATAGATAATTTAATTGTTTTTAATAATGTACAGATACTGAAAGAAGTCTAAAACCTCTCTAACTTTATGAGCCATTTTCTAGTCATACCAAAACCAAACTGATACTTCTATTAAAAATAATTATTTTTGATATAACTATATTTCATATTTTTAAAAAATCTCTTAATAAATTTAATTAATGCAATTTCATTCATTTTTCTCTTAAAGACTCAGGTACTAAGTTGCATTTTGTGCGAGGAATGTGATAGAATTTGGCAAATAACTTGTTTTCAAATGATCCTGAACAATAATAAGAGGCAAATTACCAAAGGAGTAAGATATTTGGAATCTATGACTGTTCCCTGATGAATTAGGGCAGCAAAGTAAGGGCCAAGGGATCCATCATGTTATTCTATGTGAATTCTAGATAGCAACTGTAAAATTACCATGTATTACCCTTTAATATATTGCATTATGCATTATAATATAAAAGTAGCACTTTGAGTCACTTGAAAGTTTTCTTCAGTGAGAATATGAGTACAAGTTAGGATGGACTATTTGATTTTACACACCTGGTAAATCCAACTTCACGCAAGGCATTGGTCTCTCTCTCCCAACTGGGCACTTATAGACATCTCCGGTTCTTGCTTTGGGTTGACCATCTAAAGGAGAACCAATGAGAACCCTGGAAGTTGAATAAAGCAATTAAAAATGTGAATGTAATGAGACATTTGTTATAATTATTTTATGGTAAATTCTAAAACAGTTGACAGTTGTTCCCATAAACATCACAAGATTGTGACCCTGTTGGTAATTTAATGTCATATAAAATAATCATAGTATCACTAATAAATTTCAGATTTCTAATGTTGCTATAAATCTTAGCAGTCAGTCTGGTTATCATTAAGAAAACAAACAAGAAATGCTAGGTATAGAGAAAATTTCCCTTAGACTGCATCGAGTACAGTCATTACAAATCAATAAAGGTCCCTTATAAAACTTAAGGTGGGACTAGAGAGATGGGTTAGTTGTTAGGAGTAGTACTGGCTGCTCTTGCAGAAGGCCTGGGTTTGACTTCCAGCACCCACACAGGGATTCCCAAGTATCTGTAACTCCAGTGCCAGGGGCCTGATGCCCTCTTCCGTTCTCTTGAGCACTACATGTACATAGTATGCAGACAAACATAAAGGTAAAACAATCATACACATAAAACAAAAATAAATAGATATCTTAAACTTTAAAAAAGAAGTACATATTAAAAAGGAACTAAAAGGTGCATTACCCTCTGATCCAGCTGTGCCACCATATATAGTTGGAGGGTTTTTAAGCAGCATGTACAAGATACTTACACATCCATGTTTATTGTTAGACTGTTTACAATAGTCAGGATATGACACTGGCCTTGATGTTCATCAAATGAATAGATTAAAATTATGTAGTACAGATGTACACACACATACATAATAGAGTTTTCTTCAACTGTAGAGAATGAAATTATAACATTTACTGGAAAAAACGGAACTAGATATCACAGTGTGAATCAAAATGAGTCAGATTTGGAAGGGGAAGCATTTCATATTTTCTCTTGTATGTAGAAACTAGATTAAGATGTCTCTATATAGATACAGATGATATAGATATAGATGTAGATATATGATATGAATGTAGAGAGGGCACCGTGTAAGCATAGAGGAAAACTTTTAAAAAGCGAGAGGGTAATGAGGGAGAAAAACAAATATCATGTTCTCCCTGCTATGCAGAATATAGAGTTAAAGGATGGGCACATGACATGAAAGCTTGTTTGGGAGCTGCTCAATCAGTGGGACAGGAGAGGGGAAAAGAATGAAACCATAACTGTGATGTTAAATGACATACATGTATAAACAGGGCATCATGAATCATTATTTTCTATACTTACAAAACATAATTTAAATAATTAAAAAGATGCATAGGATGGCGATAAACATGGATCGAAATGTATTCTTCTACATGCCAGCCTCCAGTTATGCCAGCACCATTTGTTGAAGATGCTTTCTTTATTCCATTGTATATTTTTAGCTTCTTTGTCAAAGATCAGATGTTCATACGCGTGTGGGTTAATACCAGGGTTTTCAATTCGATTCTATTGGTCTACCTGTCTATTTTTGTGCCAATACCAAGCTGTTTTCAGGACTATAGCTCTATAATAGAGCTTGAGGTCAGGGATGGTGATGCCTCCGGACATTGCCTTGTTGAACAGGGTTGTTTTGGCTATCCTGGGTCTTTTGTTTTTCCATACAAAATTGATTATTGTTCTTTCAAGGTCTGTGAAGAACTGTGCTGGGATTTTAATGGGGATTGCATTGAATCTGTAGATTGCTTTTGGCAGGATTGCCATTTTTACTACATTGATCCTACCTATCCAAGAGCATGGGAGATCTTTCCATTTTTGAAGGGCTTCTTTAATTTCTTTCTTTAAAGATTCAAAGTTCTTGTGATACAGGTCTTTCAAGTCCAAATGGATCAAAGACCTCAATATAAATCCAGCCACACTGAACCTCTTAGAAGAGAAAGTGGGTGGTACCCTTGAATGAATTGGTACAGCAGACAGCTTCCTGAACATAACACCAGTAGCACAGACAGTGAGATCCACAATTAATAAATGAGACCTCCTGAAACTGAGAAGCTTCTGTAAGGCAAAGGACACAGTCAGCAAGACAAAAAGGCAGCCCACAGAATGGGAAAAAATATTTACTAACCCCACATCTGACAGAGGGTTGATCTCCAAAATTTACAAAGAACTCAAGAAGCAAGTCTCCAAAACACCAAAGGATCCAATTAAAAAGTGGGCTGCAGAACTAAATAGAGAATTTTCAATAGAGGAGTCTAAAATGGCTGAGAGACACTTGAAAAAGTGCTCAACATCCTTAGCCATCTGGGAAATGCAAATCAAAACAACTCTGAAATACCATCTCACTCCTGTCAGAATGGCTAAAATCAAACACACCAACGACAATTTATGCTGGAGAGGATGTGGTAAAAAGGGGAACACTCCTCCATTGCTGGTGGGAGTGCCAACTTGATCAGCCACTTTGGAAATCAGTATGGAGATTCCTCAGAAAAAGTGGGAATAAACCTACCACAAGACCCAGCAACTCCACTCTTAGGCATATATCCAAAAGATGCCCATTCATATAACAACGATGTCTGTTCCACTATGTTCATAGCAGCATTTTTTGTAATAGCCAGAACTTGGAAGCAACCTAGACGCCCCCCCAACCGAAGAGTGGATATAGAAAATGTGGTATATTTACACAATAGAGTACTATTCAGCAGAAAACAACAATGGAATCCTGAGATTTGCAGGCAAATGGATGACACTAGAAGAACCCATCCTGAGTGAGGTAACACAGTCACAAAACAGAGAAACATGGCATGTACTCTCTCATATATGGATTTTAGACATAGATCTGGGGAGTGACAGCCTACAATCCCATGACCAGAGAGTCTGGGAAACAGAACCTTCATTCAGTGGCTGATGGAAGAAGAGGCAGACTCACATGGCTAAGCACTGAGCTGAACTCAAGAAAACCAGTAACAGAGAGGGAGGACTGATGACCAAAGGGATTAAGACTGGGCTGGTTTAACCCCCAGAAACAGCAGACCTGACAAGGGTTAGCTCTTGAAAACCAGACTGATGCCTGAGAATCCAGCATGGGACTGATCAAGACCCCCTGAATGGGGGTGTCAGTGAGGAGGCCTAGGCAATCTATTGAGCCTTGGGCAGTAGATCAGTATTCATCCCGAGTATACACATGGACTTTGGACTCCCATCCAACAATGTGAGATGCACTCTCCTGAACTCTTGGGGGAGGGTCTGGGCCCTGCCCTGGATGAAATGACAGACTGTGGACACCCCCATGGAGGGCCTCACCCTCCCTGGGGAAATGAGGGGATATTGGAGGGGGGTTGGGGGGAGGGCACGGGAAGAGGGGAGGGAAACAGAGAGGGACCTGGAACTGACTTGTGAAGCAACCTTGTTTCTAATCTAAATTTAAATTTAAAAATAAATAAATAAATAAAATGTAAAGGTGGAAGAATTTATTTCAGCTGACTGCTTTCTTTTAGTTCATTGCTTCTGAATCTGTCATGAGACAGGACATCATAGTGTAAGGGGATGTCAATGGAAAGCAGCTCAATTTATGGTATCAGAGAGAGAGAGAGAGAGAGAGAGAGAGAGAGAGAGAGAGAGAGAGAGAGAGAGAGAGAGTGGTGCTAGGGATTAGAGACAAAAAAGATACATAGGAGATGTAATAGATTTCCCTTTATTGTTTTATCTATCGCTACCATATTTATCACAGGTAAGCCTGCTATTGTGTTGCTTTATGAAAACACACAAGTATAAATGAGCCTTTTCCCATGAGAAACTGCCAGTTTCAGAGAAAGCAAGAAACATAAACAGAAGGTCATTCTGGGATTTAAAATGAGACAGTCTTATATTGTAAGCCCTTGAGAAATCTGTACAGTGCTGAGATCCAGGATAAAGTCTTAGTGTCTTTGTAGACCACATTATGAAATACTCCATCACTGATGAAGAAAATAGAGCTATGTTTCAGCTTGTCTCCACTTCAGGCAGCATATAGATCTGTACCATTCAATTACATAGTCTCCCAGAACATCTTCAGGAAAAGACACTTCAGTATGCATAACTGTTAAGGCAGTTGGGTGGGTCAACAACTGATTTTGTGTTCATGGCTAAGCAGGTATATTCACTCTCTAGGGTTCTATCATATACTATAAAACTCTGAACTTCAAGATTGTCTGAGAATATGTTCTTATGAATTCAGAGAAGATACAAAACACATTAAAATATTTTAAAACCATATCTGCAAATAGTTGGGAATAGAAATATTCTCAATATTCTAGAATCATAAATATAGATTAACAAAAACTTAATAGGAACATACATAAATAAATTTACCAAACTGCACATTACTGTCTATATTAGTACAGGATGTGGGAAGTCTGATTTAATGGGAGTTCATGTGAAAAAGTCATGGAAGAATTGGTTGACAGCACAAAAGCATGAGTCAACTCTGTATTTTGGTGCCAAAAATGCTAATGTGACCTTAGGCTGGATTGCTGGAAATAGATGTGCTGGTCAAGGAAAGTGATGGGCCCTCTGTGCTCTGCCCTGGTCACGTCTGGACTCCTCGCAGTAATTGGAACATAGGCACAATGGAACACATTTAGGAGACTGTGACTCAGATGGTTGAGAGCCAAGCAATTTTGTCAGGGAAGAGATGCTCTAGAAAAATTGGGACATTTAGTAAGGAGGAAAATGCCCACAGAAGGACTAACAGGTTATAGAAGGTACAAATGGCTCAAGCAAACACTTCATCAACTTTAAATACTTGTGAGATAGTCATGCTGACAAAGGATGGGATTTATTTTCTATAAATTCTTTGTAAGAGTTCTTATTAATATAAATAAACTTATAAATATTAGGAAGAATTCTTAAACATATAATATGATGTACTGGCTGAACCATTTCTGATGTACAAGAAGGTCCGTAAGAATATTTCAATCTTTTAGGCTACAATTCTTACTTCTAGGAATCCATTAGTTAAAATGGTCTAAATAAGGAAAATAGCTTAATACATAAAGGCAATGCTAAAGGAAAAGTTAAGAAATAAGGATGACAGT